AACCATAGGACTTTTTGTTAGGATCGAAAAGTAAAAAAAAAAAATAAAAAAAAAATTATAATAAAAAAAAAATTTCAGAAATAACGTTTTCTTAACTTAATGGGAACATTAGCACAATGTTCTTAGAACATATTTTTGTTATATACAGTTTTGCCCGCCATTCAGTAGAAAACACAGTTCAAATATGGCATCACATATGTGTATGCTCATATTTTTGAGGCAATGGGACCAGTGAAGCATGTACTGTTCTTACGAGCAGCACTAGAAATAAAGCAAAATGCTTTACTGATGGAGGAGACCTGGCAAATCAACAAAGGACAGTGTTGAGGAGGTAGCTGAGTTGTGTAGGAGTTTCCCAACCAAAGCTTATATCAAACAGCAGACATCTAAAAGAACGTGTAAACACAGGACATGTTCATCTGTGCTTTTTATTGTTATCTGCATGTGTCCTATGACTTCTGGTTAGTATTTAGTTTTGTGCCTTTCTAGATCAGTTTGTAAACTGCAAAGGAATCCGCAGCTGAAGCAACACATGTAAATGTATTTTTGCTGCAATCAAAATTTGGGAAAAAAATCTATCACACTTTGAAATAAATATATATACATATATACAGTACATACATACACACACATATATATATATATATATACATACTATATATATATATTTTTTTTTAGAACTATGCAGCCTTGAAACCACATAAATATAGTTGAGAAGCAACACTGCATAATGTATTAAGACTTTAGACTATTTTGCCTTACTGTACTGGGAGATTGTTTTTAAGTATCAACATTCACTGCACAAAATATAGTACTTCATGCATTTTTAATCTTCTTTTTTTATTGTCTTTTTTTAAAATGGTTTTCCAGAAAAATCAGTGTCTTCTCTACACAAGAATTAATATTCACAATTTTCCAAAAATAAAAAATTAAATAAACAAAAATGAAAAATGCATTAAGTAGTATCTCTCTCTCTCTCTCTCCTTTATTATTTTTTTTAAAGATGCATATTGATTTCTGATTTTTGACACTGATTTTTCTGGAAAACCATTTGAAAAAAAAGAGGATTAAAAAAAAGAAGATTAAAAAAAAAATGCATTATGTAGTATCTTTTGTGCAGTGAATGTTGATTGTTGTGCAGAAAAAACATTGACAACAGCAAAATTTGTGTCCAAATATAAACTTCTGAAAAATGACTAAGGAAACATAAATGGACCACAAAATGTCACTGTTTCCATCAGTACTGTTTAAACAACATTTAAAAGATTTCATTTGCAGCGAATAAAACTGTGATTTTAAAAAAGGTGACCAATCAGAAGCAGCAGCTGGGGCAAGAAAAGTACAAAAATAAAAATACAAAATTTAAAAAAAAAAAAAAAAAAAAAAAAAACAATGAATAATTCATTAAGTAGTATCTCTCTCTCTCTCTCCTTTATTGTTTTTTTTAAAGATGCATATTGATTCCTGATTTTTGACACTGATTTTTCTGGAAAACCATTTCTCAAAAAGAGGTTAAAAAAATGCATTAAGTAGTATCTTTTGTGCGGTGAATGTTGATTGTTGTGCAGAAAAACACTGACAACAGCAAAATTTGTGTCCAAATATAAACTTCTGAAAAATGACTAAGGAAACATAAATGGACCACAAAATGTCACTGTTTCCATCAGTACTGTTTAAACAACAACATTTAAACGATTTCATTTGCAGCAAATAAAACTGTGATTTTAAAAAAGGTGACCAATCAGAAGCAGCAGCTGGGGCAAGAAAAGTATCTTGAGCATATTGAGTGTTTACTGTAGAAACTGTACAATTCGTCAGGTTTTTGTCATGGCGTTGTGAGAAAGAAACCATCACACTCTTGAACATGTCTTGTGCATACAACCCCTGAAAAATTGCAATAGCAGTAAAATATTTGTTACATACTAAAACATTTAGCTCTTCAACAAAAACTAAAAACTATCAAGCTTGGGCAGTGAAACGTTTAATGTGAAGGAGTGACGTGCAGTTGAAAAACAAAAAAAGCAGAGAGCGGTACCTG